GTTTTTTTGTGTTGTGTTTAGTTTTGTTTTTTTGGTTTTTGACAGAGTCTCGCTCTGTTTGCCCAGGCTGGAACGCAATTGGGTTGATCTCGGCTCACTGCAACCTCTGCCTCCCAGGTTCAAGCAATTCTCCTGCCTTCAGCCTCCTGAGTAGCTGGGATTACAGTTGCCTGTCACCTTGCCCCGGCTTAATTATTTATTTTTAGTAGAGACAGGGTCTTGCCATGTTGGCTAGGCTGGTTCTCAGAACTCCTGGACCTCAAGTGATCTGGCCCACCTCCAGCCTCCCAAAGTGCTGGATTACAAGCATGGAGCCACCGCCTCCCAGTCGAAAGTTCTTTAACCTCGCTCTGGTCTCACTCCTAACGTGTTAGGGACAGTTTCTCACCCCTAACATGGGGATAGCACAACGTTGAGGTAAGATTAATGAACAACGCCTGTAATCCCAGCATCTTTGGGAGGGCCGGAGGTGGGTGGATCAGAGGTCAGGGAGTTCGAAACCATCCTGGCCAACATGGGTGAAAACCCCATCTTCTACTAAAATACAAAAATTAGCAGGGCATGGTGGTTGCGCGCCTGTAATGCCCCGGTACTCAGGAGGCTGAGGCAGTGAAGAATCACTTGAACCCAGGAGGCGGAGAGGTTTGCAGTGAGTCAAGGATCTCGCCATTGCACTCCAGGCCTGGGCGACAGGGCGAAGACTCCGTCTAAAAAAAAAAAAAGAATTAATGAGCGAACAGATGTGCCACCCTTAGAACCTGGGCCATGATGAATGCTTAACTAGCGCCCAGCTGCTGCGGCTGCTTCTGCTTAGGAACTTACCCAGTTCCACTCGCTGCGTGGGGCCCAAATCCCCGGGAGAAACGGGGCGGAGGGTGGGGGAGGGCATTGAGATCCGCCAGCGGGCCTTCTCTCCCCAGCGGATGAATGGGTCTCCGCCAACACGGAACCCGTGGAAGCGCTGTGGCTTTACCGTCAAGAATCTCCCGACCGGAAGCCAGAATCCTTCTTCCGAGTCGTTGGGTCAACATCGCCGGGGCGGCAGCGAGCCGGCCACCCTTGGTCCAGCCGGTCACCATCAGGGGAGGATTGGCGGGGTGCGTGGCCCCCCTGGACCCTGGCGCTCCGAAAGACCAAGCTGGCGTCGGTCCCGCCTGCCCTTTCCGTGGTCGTCGGACAGGACCTCCCCAGACAGTCTCATCGCCATTGGCCCCTGGAATGTGCCCCGGCCCCCCGCTGAGCCCCCTCCCTGTGTTTGCGCCCTCAGAGCCACCCAAGATCCGGCTCCCCCGCCACCTCCGCCAGACCTACATCCGCAAAGTGGGAGAGCAGCTCAACCTTGTCGTCCCCTTCCAGGTCAGGGGAGCGGGGTCAGGGGCCCGGGGTCTGCTCCTGCCGCAAGCCCCCTTTGTGCGGGTGGAGCCCCGCTGACGCCGTCCCACCCTCTCCCCGCAGGGAAAGCCCCGGCCCCAGGTGGTGTGGACCAAGGGCGGGGCCCCGGTGGACACCTCCCGCGTGCACGTGCGGACCAGCGACTTCGACACCGTGTTCTTCGTGCGCCAGGCGGCCCGCTCCGACTCCGGGGAGTACGAGCTGAGCGTGCAGATCGAGAACATGAAGGACACCGCCACCATCCACATCCGCGTCGTGGGTGCGCGCGCTGGGGAGGGCCCCTGGTGGTCGGGAGGGGCAGGGATGGGGAGCGATGCGGGAGGAGGTGAGTTGAGGTGTGGGAGAGGAGGTGAGAGATGAGGGGTGGGAGAGGAGGTGGGAGATGAGGGGTGGGAGAGGAGGTGAGATGAGGGGTGGGAGAGGTGAGAGATGGGGGGGAAGGGAGGTGGGAGATGAGGGGTGGGAGAGGAGGTGAGATGAGGGGTGGGAGAGCTGAGAGATGATGGGGGGGAAGGGAGGTGGGAGATGAGGGGTGGGAGAGGAGGTGAGGAGATGAGTAGGGGAGGGGGAGAGGAGGTGAAGAGATGTGGAGGGGAGGGGGAGACTGGATAAGGAGCAAGGCAAATACCAGGGCTAGGAGTGGAGGAGAGATGAGGATGGGGAACCCTTGAGAGAGAGATTGGGTGGAGAGAGGAAGTGGGGAGACATGGGGGTGAGGAGAGGAGGTGAGGAGGGATGAGGATGGCCCAGGATAAGAGGAAGTGGAGAGATTGGGATGGGGGAGGCCGTAGGTAGGAATGGGAATGGGGCATAAGAGAGGTTAGAATCAGAAGAAGAGGGTAGGGGTGTGGAGAGGGGAGGGGAGGGGAGGGGAGTGGCTGGACATCCCAAAACCCGGACTGACTTGTCACACTTCCCCACTTCCAGAAAAGGCTGGGCCCCCTATAAACGTGATGGTGAAGGAGGTGTGGGGCACGAACGCGCTGGTGGAGTGGCAGGCCCCCAAAGATGATGGGAACAGTGAGATCACGGGGTATTTCGTCCAGAAAGCAGACAAAAAGACCATGGTGAGAGAGCAGAGGGGGTGACGGGGAAGAGCCGGTGAGGTGGGCAGAGCAGGTGCAGATGTCCCCCTTTCACAGCTGGAAGGGCAGGGAGGGGCCCAGAGGCTGGAGGACGGGCTGGGGCCGGGAGGGAAGCCTTTTAGCTGAGACTCGCACGTGATGGGTTTTCATTTTCTTTTTTCACTGAGGTAAACATCACATAACGGAATTAGCCATTCGCTGTTTTAAAGTGAACAATTCAGCAGCCCTTAAGACATTTGCAGGGTTGTGCAGCCACCGCCTCTACCCAGTCCATTTTCATCCCCCAGAGGAAGCCCTGTATCCAATAGCGCCACCTCCTGGTCTCCCCTGGCAGCCACCCATTTGCTTTCTGTCTCCCTGGATTTACCTACTCCGGACATTTCATACACATGGAATCCTAGCTATGTGACCTTTGTGTCTGACTTTGTTAACTCAGCACAACATCTTCAAAGTTCATCCATGCTGCAGGGTGCAGGGTGTGTCCATGCGGCAATCCTGTTTTTAGAATTTTTTTTTTTGAAACAGGGTCTTACTCTGTCACCCAGGCAGGAGTGCAGTGGTGCAATCTCGGCTCACTGCCTTCTCTGCCTCCGAGCTCAGGTGATCCCCCCCATCTTAGCCTCCCAAGTAGCTGGCACGTGCCACCACGCCCTGCTAATTTTTGTAGAAACGGGGTCTCACTACGTTGTCCAGGCTGGTCTTGAACTCCTGGACCCAAGTCATCCTCCCACCTTGGCCTCCCAAAGTGTTGGGATTACAGGCGTGAACGACTGCACCTGGTCTTAATTTCTTTTACATTTTTAAAAATTTTTATTTTTGAGACAGGGTCTTGCTCTGTCACCCAGGCTGGAATGCAGTGGCACCTTCATGGCTCATTGCAGCCTCAAACTCCCAGGTTCAAGCAATCCTCCTTCCTCAGCCTCTCGAGTAGCTGGGACTACAGGTGCTGGCCACCAGACCTGGCGAATTTTTTGATTTTTTTGAAGAGACAGGGTCTCGCCGTGTTGCCCACGGTGGTCTCGAACTCCTGGGCTCAGGTGAGCCCCCCACCTGGGCCTCCCAAACAGCTGGAATTACAGGCGTGAGCCATGGTGCCTGACTCCTCCTTAGAGTTGAATGATGTTCCCTTGTCTGGGCTGACCAGTTCGTTTGTCCATCCCTGCACTGATGGGCGCTGGGTTGGCTCCACCTGTTGGCCACTGTGAGTAGTGTGCCACGAGTGACAAGATTTTTAAACACTGGATGTGCTTTTCTCACCCTTTCTTGCGTCTGTGTCTGTGTGTAATCCCGCGATCCTGTGGCCCCGACCCCCCGGTCCCTCCGTGTCCCTACACTAGGAGTGGTTCAACGTCTATGAACGTAACCGGCACACTAGCTGTACTGTGTCCGACCTCATCGTGGGCAATGAATACTATTTCCGAGTTTACACTGAGAACATCTGTGGGCTCAGTGACTCACCTGGTGTCTCCAAGAATACGGCCCGCATCCTCAAGACAGGTACAGCCATCCTGCTCCACGGCCCAGGCCCACCCCCTCCACCCTCTCGCCCAGGTCCCACCTGGACTCCCCCCGCCCTCCCCTCCCCTCCCCACTGGGGTTGACTGCACCTAGTTATGGGGAAGAAGTGATTGTGGTTTGTTCTGCGGCTGGTGTCAGGGGATGATCTAGATCAGTCGCCTCACGGGTGCATCCTCTCTCCGCAGGAATCACCTTAAAACCGTTCGAGTATAAGGAGCATGACTTCCGGATGGCTCCCAAGTTCCTGACGCCTCTCATAGACCGGGTGGTCGTGGCTGGGTACTCGGCGGCTCTCAATTGCGCTGTCAGAGGCCACCCAAAGGTGCCTGGGCAGGGACCCAGAGCTGTGTGTGTGTTGCCTTGTGGGGAATCTTCCATACAACGAAGCCCCCGCTCCCCATCACGCCAGTTCTTCCTCCCTGAGTTCTCTGTCTCAAGGGATTTAGTCACTTAAAACAATTTTTTTAATTGATTTTGTTTGTTTGTTTTTTTTGAGACAGGGTCTTGCTGTATCACCCAGGCTGGAGTGCAGTGATGCGATCACAGCTCGCTGCAACCTTGACCTCCTGGGCTCAAGTGATTCTCCCACCTCATCCTCCTGAGTAGCTGGGACCACAAGCATGAACCACTATGCCCAGCTACTTTTATGGTTTGTAGAGATGGGGTCTTGCTATGTTGTCCAGGCTGGTCTTGAACTCCTAGGCTCAAGTGATTCTCCTGCCTCGGCCTCCCAAAGTGCTGGGATTACAGGTGTGAGCCACCATGCCCAGACTGGACTTGCTCGCTTTTCACCCACTTCCTGTAGCTCCTCTGACCACAGCCCAAGTCTCAGACGATCAATCACACCTTGCCTTTGGCTTCCTGCCTTTTTCCTTCTATTTTTTTTTTTTTTTCTGAGACCAGGCTCGAGTGCAGTGGTGCGATCTTGGCTCACTGCAGCTGCCTCCCAGATTCAAGCGATTCTCCCGTCTCAGCCTCCTGAGTAGCTAGGATTACAGGTGTGCACCACCATGCCCAGCTAAATTTTGTATTTTTACTAGAGACAGGGTTTTGTTGACCTCAGGTGATCCACCTGCCTCGGCCTCCCAAAGTGCTGGGATTACAGGTGTGAGCCACTGCGCCCGGCCTCTTGCCTTTTTCTTTGTCCCCGTCAGGTAATAGCTTGTCTCGGCAGCTTGAGGAGAGGAGCATTAAGTCTCTCTTGCTCTGTCCAAGGACAAATGCCAGTCCCGTGGAAAAAGAAACCTTGGGAGCAGGGGCAGCCTGAACCGCCATGGCTCCCCAGGGTCTTCCTGTCCAGCCGTTTCCCGACTGCTGTTTGGGAGTGTGGACACTTGCAACCTAGAGCTCGTTTAGACCAGGGGTTAGCAAACCATCGCCCATGGGTCAAATCCACCTGCCACCTGTTTCTCTCAATAAAGATTTATTGGAACACGGGCCATGCACATTTGTTTATGTTTTGTTTACAGCTACTGCAGACAAAATGTAAGTAAATGTGCGTGGCTCATGTTCCGGACCCAGAGACCACAGGGCCCAAAAAGCCCGAAATATTCACCATCTGGCCCTTTATAGGAACAGTTTGCCAGCTTCTGGTCTGGGCTGTAGGTTCTTCGCTTCAGCCCCCTTAAGGCATACCATGGATTCATTGGTTCACCATCTCCATCTCTGTGTACTTTATTCACTAACTGCACTCGTTCATGTCTCTCATTCCACTCATTTATCCACCTACCAATCCATCCTTTACTCAGTTCATTCCTTCACTCCATTTGCTTATTTACAGCACTCTTTCATGCTCTCATTCATTTATTCACTCCATTTATTCTTTCAACAAACATTTTCAGAGGCTTTCAACGACCTGGGTGATTCGAACAAGAAATTTCCTGTATGTTGAGGGAGACTGACATTTGCCCAGAGTCACACAAATAATATAAAATTATAAAGGGCTGGGCCAGACACGGTGGCTCAAGCCTCTAATCCCAGCACTTTGGGAGACCGAGGCGGGCAGATCACCTGAGGTCAGGAGTTTGAGACCAGCCTGGCCAACATGGTGAAACCCCATCTCTAGTTAAAAAAAAAAAATACAAAAATTAGTCAGGCACGGTGGTGAGTACCTGTAATCCTAGATACTTGGGAGGCTGAGACAGGAGAATCGCTTAAACCCAGGAGGTGGAGGTTGCAGTAAGCCGAGATCGTGCCACTGCACTCCAGCCCGGGAAACAAAGCAAGATTCTGTCTCAAAAAAAAAAAAAGGCCAAGTGCAGTGGCTCACACCTGTAATCCCAGCACTTTGAGAGGCCGAGGCGGGTGGATCACCTGAGGTCAGGAGTTCAAGACCAGCTTGACCAACATAGAGAAACCTTATCTCTACTAAAAATACTAAAAAGTAGCCAGGCATGGTGGAACATGCCTATAATCCCAGTTACTCAGGAGGCTGAGGCAGGAGAATCACTTGAACCCAGGAGATGGAGGTTGCAGTGAGCTGAGATTGTGCCATTGCACTCCAGCCTGGGCAACAAGAGTGAAACTCCATCTCAAATAAATAAATAAATAAATAAAATAAAAAGGGCTGGCGGGGTACAGTGGCTCACTCCTGGAATCCCAGCACTTTGGGAAGCCGTGGTGGGAGGTTGGCTTGAGGCCAGGAGTTTGAAACCAGCCTGGGCAATATGGTGGAACCCATCTCTATATACAAAATAAATACAATTATAAAGGGAGGCAAGTGTGTGAGAGAAACACAGGCAGAGTGTAAAAATAGGTATTTCCGTTCCAGTCTAGGGGCCACGAAGGGACGTGTGAACTGAGACCTAAAGGATAGGTTAAAAAAAAAAAAAAAGGAGGGAAGGGCAGCATGGAAGAGGGAACAGCCAGTGCCAGGGTCCTGAGGTGGGCACCTGTCTGGTCTGTTTGAAAGACAGCGAGGTAGCCTGTTTGGCTGGAGCAGAGAAGTAATGGGGATCAAAGACTGTGGGACCCTGTGGGCCATGACAGTGAGCTCTTTGTCCTGAGAGCAATGGGAAGACCGCACCATTACCCTGTGAAGTAGGGACTATCAACCTGCTTTTACAGAATAGGAAACTGAGGGTCAGGGAGAAGTGACTCGCCCCAGGACATCCGGCAAGAGCGTGGCAGAGCCTAGAACCCAGATCTGCTTCCCGAGCTCCATTTTGTCATTGCCCAGGGACCCTCTCTAAGTTGGCCTCCTCTCCCTTGACTCTTTAACAGCCGAAGGTGGTCTGGATGAAGAACAAGATGGAAATCCGCGAAGATCCCAAGTTCCTGATGAACAATTACCAGGGGGTCCTGACGCTGAACATCCGCCGCCCCTCGCCCTTCGATGCTGGGACTTACACCTGCCTGGCCGTCAACGAGCTGGGCGAGGCGCTGGCTGAGTGCAAGCTGGAGGTCCGAGGTGAGGGCATGGCCGTCCCCAACACTGGCTGACCGTGGCTTGGGCCCTGTGCCAGCCTGGCCAGAGGCCCTGGGCTGAGCACTGCTGAGATCTGGAGACAGTGAGACCCGCCCTCTGGGAGGAGGACTGGGAAGCTGCTGTCCTGAAGGCAGCACAGGGCATCATAGGAGTTGGGGTGGGGGAGCCCCTGATCCAGCTTGGGCAGGAATCAGATTTTTCCAAAGGAGTTGAAGGACAAGGAAGAGGGAGGCTGAGTGAGAAGGGCTTAGCAAATGTCCCCAAGGCCTCCAGTGAACCGGGGCCCCCGCAGGCAGATGGGTTGACAGAGTGAGAGCAAACATGGATAACAGAAGTGACCAGGGGCGGTGGGAGCTCCCAAAAGTGCCTCCCCTCCATAGCCTGTCCCCATGCTCTCACCCACCTGCCCCTGCCTCTCCCTGCCCCGTCCCCTCATCTCGGTCCCAGAGCTCCAGCCCCAATGAAAGCTACATCCTCTTCCTCCCAGATTCCATTTCCAGCCGCCTCCCTGTCTCCAGTCTCTCCAACCTGCCACCCACCTTCACCCCTGGACTGGCCCCAGAGAGCTCTCTCTATCCAGAGCTGCTCTGCCTCAGCCCTGATCCCAGCCCGCTGGGGGCTCCCCACCACCCCAGCGCCCCTCCGCCTGGTGTTCACAGTGGTGTGTCCGCCTCTGGCCCCACCTGCCCCGGTTCTTCCCACATGATGTCCCAGCCACACTGGGCTGTTGGCCGTTACACTGGTCAGGCTTTCCCACCACAGGGACTTGGCACAGGCTCTTCCCTCTTCCTGGAACACAATTCCCCCGCTCCTCTACCCTGTGCTCCGGCCCGTCAGACACCTGCCAGTCAAGGCTCAGCAAAGAGGCCACTAATGGTGTCCCTCAGAGCAGGATGACATCAATGTGGACTTCCAGAGTCCCTCCCGGATGGTGACTTCTGACCTCTGACTCCCCTGGCTCTGAGGACAGCCCAGCAGACAGGGTGGCTGGGGACCCTTAACAAAGGCTGAGAGAGGACACTTTCTGGCCAAGCACGGTGGCTCTCGCCTGTAATCCCAGCACGTCGGGAGACCAAGGCAGGCGCGTTGCTTGAGCCCGGGAGTTCAACACCAGCCTGGGCAACATGGCGAAACCGGCTCTACTAAAAATACAAAAAAAACAAATTAGCCGGGCATGGTAGCACATGCCTGTCGTCCCAGCTACCTGGGGGGCTGAGGCAGGAGGATCACTTGAACCGGGGAGGCCGAGGCTGCAGTGAGCTCAGATCGTGCCATTGCACTCCAGCCTGGTGCAACAGAGTAAGACTCTTGTCTCAAAAACCAAACAAGGCCGGTCGCGGTGGCTCACGCCTGTAATCTCGGCACTTTGGGAGGCCGAGGCGGGCGGATCACCAGGTCAGGAGATCGAGACCATCCTGGCTAACATGGTGAAACCCCGTCTCTACTAAAAATAAAAAAAATTAGCCGGTCACGGTGGCGGCGCCTGTAGTCCCAGCTACTCGGGAGGCTGAGGCAGGAGAATGGTGTGAACCCGGGAGGCGGAGCTTGCAGTGAGCCGAGATCACGCCACTGCACTCCAGCCTGGGCGACTGAGCGAGACTCCGTCTCAAAAGAAAAAAAAAAAAAAAAAAAACAAAAAAACCCAAAAACACCCCCGATCACTGCTCTTCCAAGCCCACCCAATTTCTGATATTCTGCTCTCTCCCTGATTAACTATTGAATCAGTTCAGAAAAATCCCGGCCTCAGGATTCCAGTGACCGCGTACAGCCAGCAGCTCAGAACGTCCCCATCTGGGATGCAGAATAGCAGTAGTCAGGCACGCTGTGACCCTGGGTTGTCCAGCCACAGTGGCCTGGGATGGGGCGGGATGGTGACCGTCATCCTGTCCCCCAGCTGGTCATGTGGACACAGCAGCCAAAGGGGCCTGGGGCTCCAGGAGGAGGCGTGCCCCGGCCTGGCTCACCCGCTTTCTGATTTTCCTGCAGTGCCGCAGTGAGACCTATCCCCTACCTGCCGAGACAGTTGGTGGCGGAGTCCTGACCCCAATCCCCAGCCTCCCGGGACTGTGTTCCTTCTGGAGTTTTTGCTGAGAACAAAACAGTGTTGTCTGGACCCTGGAGTGTCTGTCCTTCTTGCCTGTGTAGCTCCGTCTTCCTCCTGCAGGGGGTTGGTGACCCCGGGGTTGGCAATGGGAGCAGCTGCGTCCACACAGGCCGCGGTGAGGTGGCCTCTTGGAAGAGCTACTTTAGTGAGGCAGCCATGTTGTTACCGCAAGCACAGAGCATGCAAGGTGAACGCAAGCCCACGTGGAGGCCGGCCCCAGCGAGCTGCCGGGAGGGAGGGAGGGTGCAGGCTGGGGGCGATGACAGTGGCAGCGAGTCAAAGACGCACCCAGGCCACACCCAGAAGGCTGCTCTACTGAGGCAGCTGTGTCAGTGTGGCGGCCTCGAGGCCTCGGCAGTGGCCAAAGAGCTAGACGTGGTGAGGTGAAGAGGGAGGCAGCTGTGCTGGACGAACTCCCGCGAGGCAGCTGCGCGGACTTGGCGACGATGGCGGAAACCGCTCGTGGCCTGCTTGTTGGTTCTTAAGGGGTTGACCTTTATTAACTTTAATATCTCATCTGCCTGGCCCTGAGGCAAGGTACTTTGATCTCTGGTCATTTGGTGACCTTGAAGGATGCTGGAAGACTCAGAGTCCCCAGAGTTCAGAGGTCTTGGGGTCAAGTCTGGCTTCCACGCCTTGGGGCTGGGGAGAGAGCGAGCTCGTTTCAGAGGCCTTGGCCTGCAGTTAGGGAGTGGGGGGTGGGGAGGGACTCTGCACTTACTGGAATAGCAGGGGAAGCCAGGTGTCTCAAGAGTGGGCACAGATTCCAGTGACCCCAGCTTCTAAAACTGGCATCACCCCCTGCTCCACCTTGACCCCCAAGGCCCTACAGAGAACTGGACATTGGGCCTGGCTGACCCCACTCCTTCAGCACACAGGTTGTCCCTCTCTAGACCCCACTCCGGTAGGTCAGGGGGAGAGGGGCTGGGGCATGGGTGTGGGTGGCTGTGTATGTTCCCAAGTAGGACACGACAGCCTCCTTGGCTAGGGGCACCAAAGCCCTGGAGAGACTGCTGGCTTCTACCCACAGACCCCCATATCCCTGGGTCACCTCCACTTCCAGACCCCAGGAGTCCAGACCCCGAGCCCCTCCTCCCTCAGACCCAGGAGTCCATTCCCCGCCCCTCCTCCCTCAGACCCAGAAGTCCGGGCCCCCAGCCCCTCCTCCCTCAGACCCAGGAGTCCAGGCCCAGCCCCTCCTCCCTCAGACCCAGGACTCCACGTCATCTACTGCCTGCCTCCTCTTTAAAGACAAGGTTCTGGATCCACTATATAACCCTTGTGTGTATATATATACATGTGTATCCCTATATCATCTGTAACCTATATGTATATAGTTGCATATGTACCCCCTCGTGCTAACTCTATGCCCCTCTCACCCTCTCTGTCGCCATATATGGTATATTGTGCATATATGTACGACTTCTCGTACTATGTCGTCTGCTGTATATTACTGCTATTTATAACTCGACCACATCCACCTCTGATACTATGTATTTGTATACATGGTATAACAGCTGTGGATATATGATATGTATACATACATGTATGTGTATATATGGTATACGTGCATGTATAGATGTTATATATACCTGTATATGTATACATGTATATATGCGTATATCATGTATAAATATGTGCATA